ATAAACCGCTTAATTGCTTATAATTTTATCCAATTGTTTTGGTTCTAGATTTAATTTATTTACGTTTATACCTCAGCCCCAGAAGGTTCATTTTCTTTCACAAGTTTTCAAGAACCTTTATTTATTAAAGCAAGTTTATTCTTTATTCTCCTTGCAAAAGCCTCACTGGCTAGCCTTTGTAATTTTTTTTATTTTTTTTACCTAGATCCTAGAGTCTAAGATACACTTCTGTCGAAACTGCGTTCTTCAGACCTCTGGAAGTAGCCTTACTAGCTGCGGATCTCTAACTTACTACTCAAACCAGGTTGTTAATGGCGACTACCTCCGTATTAACCAACCACTCGTATCTTCTTTACCTGACGTGTGGAAGAATGATATTATACTATAACGTTTTAATTTTGGCATATTTTATAGGGCTCTGAGGCGCTCAACCTTGTCCCATATTATTCACGAGTTCTTTTTAATCATACTATTCACTCTGTAAAAGGTCATAATTTGCTCACCAATAAGTTATTTAGCGTTTTAAGCACTTACTTGAGACTGGAGTAAGCGGCCTTTCTCAGAAATAGAAGAATTTTTTAGAACCTTTGTTTTTTACTGTTAAAGGCAGGATATTATCATTAATAGTTGATTATAAGCATCGAAATATAGCGGTAGATAGAAAGATTACTCTAGTTAATTTTAAAAAAAGACGTCGTATCGCCAAATTAGATTATTAACTATCTTTAGAATTTGTGTCCAACACCACACAACACTTCTGGCTCCTCATAGAGTAAGTTACCAATATGTGGCTTGGTATTTGGATCTAAGGTCTAACATAAGGAGTATAGAATCAGACGGCAGTGTGTAGAATAGCAGGATCCAGTCAAATAAGGAGGACGAGCGAAAGATTAATTTTAAGTTAGGAAGTTAATCGTGATGTCTTATTGTGCCCACTATATTCTAAGCAATTAAGGCTTACATGATTGTTGTCTCATTTTGCCAACTGTACATATTTATTCGCTAGGCTGAGCAAGTTGGCATTAACCATTGTGCTTGTTCGTCAAATAGTATTTTGAGCAATTTACTGGTATCTTATTTATTTTTTGCTGTACTAAGTGATTTATTTAATATCTGCTACGTCTCTGATCCGTTTGCAACTCGGATTATTTTTCATATAAACATCTCTTTTCATATCATTTCTTGACTGAGGTTGGCTTGGAATTTATTTCCCCTCTCTGACAAGTTTAAGCGACTAAGCTTAGTATATTAATACGATTTTTTGCTTGGATGAGCCGAAAAGAGGCGAGCGTTTCATGCTGTCCCTCAATATAGATTGTCTCATAGACCAGTCAAAGCAAAATTGCTACTTCTTGTTTCCTTAAGCTACACAATCTTCGTTAGTCTCTTCTTGTTAAGGATGCAACTTGACAGAGTTGGTCATGTGAGCTGCTATTTTACATGAAGGAAGAGATATAGGTAGTTCACTAACTGACTTATTAGAAACATATAATAATTTTTTTTATTTGTCTTATTGGATGGGCTTCGCATCCTTTAATTTCTATATAAGATTATCAGTAATTCTTGAATGTGCTCTTAGTCACCATAGATCGCTTAAGGTGATTAGATGGCTGAAATGTAATTTTTTCCCACAATCCGAAGAGTAGGCCTCACAATTCCATTTAATTTCACTTATCCTGGCCTCACAAAAGCGTATCTCATCCATGGTTGACCGCTGTTTCGATCTCACCTAAGCCTCATTAGCATTGGGATTCAAAACCGAGTCGTAAGTATCTTGGCTACCTTACCATTTGACTATGTGGCCATAGGTTTAACAGGGCAGTTGCGACATTCAAAGCAAGTCAGGCCTGTTTCTACTCGCATTTTATGATGAGATTTTGATTCAATCTCTCCTAAATATCATCAGTACCCTCAGCGGAATTCGATATTGGGTCATGGAAACGGTACCATTTCATTACTCACTTCATTGATAGTCTCGAAAGTTGCTCATGAAAATTTAGTAATGCCTTTTATTGCAATAACAAACACTTGTTTGCATAATAGACTATGTTACTAGAAAAGTGCGAGTTGGAAGAGGCTTGTCTTACCTCGAACGTCGCATCTATCCTGTGACTCATCGTTACGCATACCTGTTTAGTGGAGTGGTAACGTTGCTACGATACTCATGAATAGAATTTACCTGGTGCTGATGAAATCTAAGCATAATAAAAATATTAGTCCACCCTGCATGATATAAACTTTTGGCAGGCATAGCTATATAAAATTAAATGGAACCTTAAGACCTCATTTCCTTGTGGGAAAAGCTCAGCTATCGGTATTTAAATTATCTTGAACTTATTTACGTATGGTTATTATGTCTAAGAGCATATATTTAAAGGAAGCTGAGTCTGACTGTCTTAAGCTGATTTATGTTTAGTTATCAATCGTCGCAACTGTAAATACCACGAAAATTTCACCTATTTTTTACAGCACCTTATAAAAATGAAAATATCGGCGATTTTTATTCCTTATGATCTATTTTTTCCCTTTTCAGCTACAAGACCTTCGTAAGCAGAGGGCTCTTATTGTATCAAAACTGATCTCTTCTCGATCCCTCCTTGTTAGTGCAAAGGTGATAGTAGATCCGCCACCTATCACTTCGGGTGCTCAGCCTGATCCTGGCCCCAGCTCTAGTCGATGGCACAAAGCAACGCGCAGCACTAAAAGGGTTTCTTCTCGCATTACTCGTCAGTCGGCACTCACTCGTGGTCTTGCCTACCTTGATTTGCACTATTGTGGAAGTCATCAGGCAATTGAAGAGCTACGTACTAGACTCCATTTTCTCAAATCGACCAAACAAAATGTTTTCTCAAACAGGCCATCTACATTCAATAAGCTGATGTTTAGGGGACATTTAGTGCCGCAAAATTTCCGGAACCATAATGGGAAACCAAGAGGAAGACGCTTTGTTACACTGGGGCCAAATAAGAACACATCTATTTCACCCCGCTGGTTGCTAGTGGTTACTGGTCGGGGCACTAACTCACCATCCGGTGGAGCCAAGCTATTACCGGCGGTGCGAGGATTTCTGTCTGCTAATAACTATGAGTTTGTCGAGGGGCCAGGCTACTTCTATGTTAGATTGTCGACCTTTGGTGTCATTATTGATTGAAATCGAAAAAGGATTAGGTGGTCGATTCCCACCTTCAAAGACCTTAAATTTATTTGATTTATTCATACAATTATTATTACTTTTCACTATAATGCCTTCAACTCATTTCTTTAACCTAAACTCATTTCTTGCATCATTGGCTTCTTTGCCCTTCAATATTTTTCATTCTTTCGATATTTTAAACTTTTATCCTATTTTCCCTTCACATTTTATGACCTATTAGATTCCATTATTCTTCCTGCATCTACATGAATATTATCCTTAAACTCCCAGTTTTATTGTATATCCTATTTCATCTTTCCCTAAGAGCCATCGCTAGTATAGAGTCGTATTAACCTTATTTTCTTTAAGCTGATGAATTAATAATAATTGAATTTTACCAAAATAATATGTGTAGGCCTCAATTTTCGTTGAATTTCGCAGCCTTGCCTCTCAAAAGGAATTCTGATCAAGGGTGGACTGAATTTGTGATCTCGCTTAGTTCTCATCAGCGCAGGATTCAAACCGGTAGCATTATAGCATAGTGATTAACGTTTCGGAACTACATACTCAACAACCAGGGTTCAAATCTATCAGCGTGTTCGTATTACTTAGACTAGGTAGAAGCGGAATTACATCCTGATTTAGTGTAACTTTTTGAAAACTAGTCTGTATACAATTACTTTAAACATAAGGCATTATAATGTAATTTTGGAAAAATTAAACTTCCATTTCTTTCTTACTTTAAAAAACCCCCTTATTTAACATTTACTGTTTAGAGGTTGTTTGACCTTGTTTTCGCAACATGGTTATATTGGTAGGAAGACTTAGAAGAAAGCACATAGTCAGGAGTCCATTGTCTGCATGATCATTTCCAAATT